ACCACCGTGGAGCTGCCGCATCGCCGCTTGGCCCGCACGTGCCGCTCGCCGCGCAATCTGGGCGGGATCGTCGCCACGTGTCGCGGTCGCCGTGTTGCTCACCCTCGCGCGGCAGCCCGGGGCGACGGCGCCGGGGCCGTGCGCTATCCACCATCGATCGGCGGTCGTACGTGCGGCCGTGACGCCACGCTCTGACGCTGTGGGCCGCGCCCCCGGGTCACCGCGCGCGCCACCTGAGTCGCGCCGGCGCCGACGCGGCGCCTTCGTCGGCGCGAGCGGTGCGTCGGCGGCGGCAGTCGGTGCACGCCGCCGGCCGGGGCCAGATAGCGGCGCCAGATAATGTATCAGGCGGTGTGGCCGGTCTGGTGTCTTCGGCCCACTCCGGCTCCGGCGATGGCGCGCGACGGTCGCGGAGGTTGGCTGGCTGTGCCGACGTACGAGCTGGCCGGCGGCCGGCCGACCGTTGCCCGTCGAGCCCGCCTCGCCGTCTGCTGCCGCGCCTGCTGTCCAGGTCAGAGACTGGCGCCGTGCGAGTCGTGTGCTGCCGAACGGCTCCAGTCGCCGTCACGTGCCTCCTGACGACTGGCGTGGTGGCCGTGTGAGCCTTGCGCCCGCGGTGCGGCTGACTGGCGTCGCCGCCGGCGGCTGCCGAACGCCGGCCGCCGGGCTATTCTGGTGTCGGCCGCTCCGGCGGCGGCGCCGTGTCGAGGCGGCCGGCTTGGCTTCGGCCACACTTCGGCGTGGCTTCCATCTGCAGCGCGGCGCGGCTCTGCCCACCGTGCTGTGACGATCCCTCAGCGTGGCTTCCGTCTGCGGCGGGGCGCGGCTCTGCCGGCCGTGCTGTGACGATCCTTCGACGTGGCTTCCGTCTGCAGCGCGGCGCGGCTCCGCCAGCTGTGCATTGACGATCCCGCACGACGCCGTAAAAATGTCTCTTGAGGCGACCCCACCCTACGAATGTCCTGTGGTGGCCGACGCGGTGGCGGTGAGTCTGCTGGACGTCTCGAGCCTCCCTTCCTTGCCGCACACCGTACTCGCTGACGCGGGCGGGCTCGAGGGTATGAGTGTGACCACGTTGCCGCCACTCTGTCGGCGTGCGACTGCAGGAGCCTGAGACCGCGCGGCTTCAGTCCAGTCCAGTCCAGTCCAGTCCAGTCCAGTCCAGTCCAGTCCAGTCCAGTCCAGTCCAGTCCAGTCCAGTCCGAAGTCCAGTGTCTGCCGCCCCCCACCCTCCGGACGGGGGGCAGACGGTCAGTCAAGACTCCGGTCTCTTCAGCCCCCAGACTCGGGCGGTGGCTGCATGCCGTGACTCCGACCTGTTGAGCCTTCTGGACGAGTCGGGACTCGGCCTGGGGCTGTCGGCATGCCGCCAGTCTCTGGATGTGAGCTGGGCCTCTTAACTACATTTGAGCCAGTGTCGGGTCTGGCCCGACTTCCGTTGGTGTGTGAGAATACCGATTGTGCCTCCGGTAGACCGGATGCGAGGGTATCACATATCCGCTTCGAGGCATCTGCGGCGCGCCGCCGGGAGCTGGCGGAGTTGACGGAAGCACCATCTGACGCGAGCTGTCGCTCCAGTCAAACGGCGCTGGTGTGGGCCGCGTCTGTTTATCTGAAGTGGTTGGCGGCGTTGTAAAACCCCGTCCGTGAAGTGATTGAAAAGAGGGTTTAGATGGCCGCATCATGTGTGTCGACGCTATTAGCAGGCACGGCCCACCTGACCAGACATACTTGCATTCTCGGCAATCGGAGCCGAAGGGAATCCCCGTAGCTGCCTCATTGTCGCAGCGACTGGCTTTTCCGTGGATCGGTTTACCTTGCAACGATAGAGGCGCGGTGCTAAATATTTCCTAGGCTGGGGCCACCTGCCGCTGCCGTGTTTCATTCCTTCGCTTGTAGTGACTAATCTTCGGAGCATGCGGACAGTTGGCATGTTGTTACCGTGGCATGCTGTTGCTGTGAACCTTCGTCCCCGGACTTTGTACGCTGGCGCCGGGCGAACGGAGCGCGGGCCGGGGCATCTCTGGACCGGGTCTGCCCCGTTCGGTCAGCAGTGGTCGGCAGACGGCGGCACCATTGCCTGGTGAAAGTGCATGTGCACCGAGTGATTCACTTGTTCGTACACAAGCGTTTACAGCGCACTGTATTGAAAGAAGTGAGCAGCTCGAGCGCAGCTGTTACCGGATGTTGTGGGTTTGCCTTTAAAAAAATAGAAGTTGGCTGGCAATTCAGGTCTGCTAAACGTGTTTTAGAGCTCATGCTGGTCCTTGTTTACTGGTTCAGCGATCATATAAATTGTGGCGCGTTTCAAGTAAAGAATTCAGTTGACAACTGATCAATTACCGTAAGCCCAGTGCACACAATGAAACCTTTCTTGCACGCGTCCTCCGAAGCCTAAAGGTGCTGGTGCGAATCGTCACATTGACAGCATTTTACAGCGATGTGGTGTCTCTCTAAGTCGCTCGGAAGTGTTGACTACACTGTGGCCCTAGGCTTGGAGCGGCGGAGGGACCCAGTCATCCTGCGTGCGTGTGATGACTAATGTCCCGGCGCGGGGCGGCGTGACGCGTGTTTGCCGGGTGATGACGGGATGATGACTGGATCGGCTGATGACTAGATGGAGGTGTGCGTCCGCCGAATGGATACGTGTAGCTGGAAGTGGCGACGCCTTACCAGAAGTGGATGCGTGTGGTGAGGCGCACGCGGCCTCTGCGCAGATACCGAGAACGGCACAGGCAGAGCTGGTGACGAGTTTATGGCTTCATCAGCAGTTTTTGCTAGTAGTGATCCGACGGCCTTCACTCACGCCGTTTGCCGCGGACAGGGTTACATGCGGTGCATTTTAATGCATTTTTTGCGTTGCGATGCTTTTTTAGAGCCATGTATTTTTACACCCTCGCCCGATCAGGCGCACGACTCCCCCCCCCGCGCTGCGTAAACGTTCACACACGTTCACGTTCGCGACATCCCCCCCCCCGCCCCCCACCACACCACACTACTAACTCTTAAACTAAGGCCTGTTTTCTATTTTGTTTTTAAGGCCAGTTTCCTACACTGCACTGTGGTTCTCGCAAATATATGCGCCCGCTCAAATAAAACACTCCAGAACGTTCAGTAACGGCTTGGCGTAGAAGTTGACCAGAACACAGGCTCATATTCATTTTTGAGCTTTATTTACGGAATGAAATCAGGCATTCAATAAAACTACAATGAAGGCAATTTAGTCATGCAACCGATATGTGGATCGTGCAGACATGTCCTCTAGTATGTATGAAATAACAAGTAGCATCCCTCTTTGAAAAAGGAAACGTTTTGTCCATATGGCGATAAACCCGGCTGACATTATTTTACAGATGGGCCACAGGTTACGCCCTATTCGCCCTAGAAAGTGCTTAAAATGTGTATGAGTAAGCCATTTGCGTGGCGTTTCTATTACGACCTACATTTATGGGTGGCTTTCAAATAGACGGTGCGAAAAAGGCCGCACGAGTTCGCGTGCGGCAAGCTGGGAAAGAAGAGGGTCTGCACTATCAAAACGGGCATGGCTGCAGACTGCATGAAGCGATCTTGAATTCATTCATTGTATTCATTCATTGTTCATTCTCTGTATCAGCTCAAAACCCCATACAAGTGTGGAACAGTTCCATGAAGTGCGGTGTCCCATACGGCTGTTCCTTTCCTCACGGCCTCCCGCACGGCTACCGCCTGTCTCTGCTCACCGTTGTCCTGCTTCTACTCACCGTTGTCCTGCCTCTGCTCACAGTTGTCCTGCCGCTACTCACCGTTGTCCTGCCTCTGCTCACCGTTGTCCTGCCCACACTCCCCGCGTTCGGCTGTCCCACACTCCGACCTTTTCGGCTCGGCCATCCCACTTCATGACTGATACCCCCTTTTCATCCTCAAGTTCTTCTCTGTCAGCCGTGCCTCAACTGGTCATCTCTTTCATCGCCGCTACCAGCCGCTTAAAGACAGAATGCTTCCTTTGTTTGTGCTTTTTACTGGTTGCCGGATCAGACGCGTCCGGCGTGACCCGTGATACTAGTTTTTTCGAAATCCTTCTGAGTAACTGGGAAGTTCTATTTGAAGAAGCCGCTCACGAGGGAGAAATCTTATTGGACTCCCTGCATACCACTATGAAGTATTACGTTTCATTTGGCTTGCTTTTTCCGAAATGTGTGTTCTCCATCGTTTGCCCGCTGGTATAACGTGTTATGTTACGTGCCTGTGTACTAAATACTATGACGGTTTGAAACACTATTTAGGGAAACGACACGCGAACATCAGACTTTTCCCGGAAATTCAGCGAAACTTCATACAGTGACTTTGATCTCTCCCCCACGGTGTTTAAGTACAGCGGCTCTTTTCGAAGCGGACTTTGGCTTTGGGAAACAGAGTATCACATATTCTATGGGGACACACTAGTACAAGCTCCAACCAATGCGTTTTTTGGTAAACAGCCTTTGCCCAGCCCGCTGTGACAGTAACAAAGGTGCATTTGTGCCGTCGTCATTCACCCTGTAGAAATGTCGCGTTTAAGCCTGCAGGCCCGCAATGTGTCGGTATAAACGGCTCAAAACTTTAGTCTGTAACATCTGACGACGGTCCTTAACAGATTCTGCCGTCGTCACGGCAGACGTGACAAGTCGAGCTGCCCCGGACTCTAGTGTGGGGCTTCCAAGAAAGAAAGAAGATAACTGCGGTGTCACAACGTTGAAGCGTCATCTGAGCTCGAGACTTATTGAGATGTATGACTTGATTATGTTTTGGTGGTGCTGCATTAGCACTACCCAGTGCTATTAGTACCTGCTGTATAGCTGGTCGTCAATTTTCACCAAATAATGTTTGTTAAACGTGGCCAAAACATGGAACGCTCCCTTTAGTCCGCGCCCCGTTCTTCCCCCCGTGCGCAGTGACGCGTCCCCGCACCTCCTTCTGTATGACGTCACGAGCGGGCGCGGCATTCGCGATCCCGCGTGACTGACGATTCCGGCGCGTTTCAGGCTGTGCGCTGGTCACCGGCCTTCTGTTCCTCGTCTTCGGTGTCCTCGTTGTGATATACATGCAGGCGCACGTAGACGCCTATATCAATAAGGTAAGTCCAGAGATAAGAGACGCCGCTGCTCGGGAGGGACGCGGAGTGTTGCTGCTGGGCTGTGCTTGTTCAGTCAGTGCGCTCGCGATAACGATCTCGAATGACTGATACAAAGCGCAGCGCAACATTGCTCAAGGTTCACGGTTTCCCGTTTTGCAATCTGTTCGGCGCGACAAGCGGCGTGAGTGTAGTGATATGATCGCACAGTCGCCGTGCCGTAAAACCCCCGCGACCGTAAAAACGAAGTATGAAATGATGCCACTTCGATTTTCGTGTCAACGAATCGTAAGATCAGTGCGAGCTGTTAGCGCCAGCTCACGAGGACACTGCACGTGGCGCGGTGGGAATAACTATCCAGCCATTCATGCACGACACTCGCTCTCAAACCTTTGCGTGTGGTGGGGTGAAATGGCCAGCAGGCTTGAATACTGTTCCATCCTACCACCACCGGGCCTGGCCCGTTCGCCGAACCATATCCAGTTCGCACCCGCTCGCCGAACCATAACCAGTTCGGGCCCAATCGCCATACCATAGCCAGTTCGCACCCGCTCGCCGAACCATAACCAGTTCGGGCCCAATCGCCGTACCATAACCAGTTCGGGGCCGCTCGCCGTGTACGATTCCGGGTCATTTAAGATTTCGGCCTTGTAGTGGGTGCATTCACCATCCGAAACTCTATGCGCGATATTTGAAGCCATGTACGCTGTCCGTTATATAACCATGATTTGTTGTAATACGAACTCTATACACTAACTACGATGCGCTGCAAAAGTTAAGGAGCACTCTGCATATGTCTATACAGTGAAAAAAACGCAATACAATTCTGTACACTTAAACAGAATCCCGCCAACTATTGACCTGATCTCAATCTATTTCCGCAACGCTATGAACTGTTGAACTAGCAGCACCAAAGCAAACAGTTGATTGGAAATCTATAATTCCGTGCGCTAACAACTGGCTCAGCCGTGGTGGGCACATAGGGGTGGCTGGGGTGGAGCGGTGTCCAGACTTATCCTGGCACGTAGGGGTGGCTGGGGTGGAGCGGTGTCCAGGCTATCCTGGCACGTAGGGGTGGCTGGGGTGGAGCGGCCTCCAGGCCTATCCTGGCACGTAGGGGTGGCTGGGGTGGAGCGGCCTCCAGGCCTATCCTGGCACGTAGGGGTGGCTGGGGTGGAGCGGTGTCCAGGCCTATCCTGGCACGTAGTGGTGGCTGGGTTGGAGCGGTCTCCGGGCCTATCCTGGCACGTGTGCAGGTGTATCCTGCCTTGTTCGAGGATGTGCGTGGCACCCGGTGCACGCCTCCGCTGCGGCTCGGGCTCACAAGTGAAACAGGACTGCTCGTCTAGGAAAACACAGTCGTTTGACGACGGACGTCGTAGTGAACGCGTTATTGATCGAGCGCAGTCCGCGGTCGGCTCGCTCGCGTGATCAGTGGCTGAAGGACGTGGGCATCGGCAAATATAAATAATCGTTGTCGATCCAAAAATACCAATCATCGATAAAATATGGATGTTGCTAGACCCGTTTGGTTGGCTTTGAACGGGGCCCACTTCGGAAGTGATGTGGCGCGGCAAGTGCCAATAATCCGATAGTTTGCGTATTCAAACGTAGTCGAGCGAGTTATTTTATCCGTTCACTTATCGACTTGTATTTCTATAGATGTGCCGGCCTCTCGTCATCAAGGCGGCCGCTTTTAAGGTGCGTAAATAGACAGCCTGAGCAACTGGAGATGCCTCCTTTGAAAATGTCTGATCCATTCGACCTTCGACCTTGCCTGCACCGCTCATACAACACACTGGCCTGGCTCACTGTGAGGCTGCTGGTTTCTAGCTACTTGCTGTTCATAAAACATAGTGCGGCCAATTTAGTTGGGTTTCTTGGCTGCTGGGTACGGCAAAAGTCGCATCAAGAACAGTTTCTGACTTGTAGGCCGGCAACAACAAACACAGCGCAATATCTAGGAACCGGGTTTCGTTCCCACATGACAGCTTTGAGATGCAAGCGGGCCTGTTACCCCCCCCCCCCTCAAACAATTTTTTGACAGTTCGCACGTGCGGTGGTGAAAGTGGTGGATTGCATTGAGAGGGGAGGTAAGAGAAAGGACAGGATAGGGGCAGCCGAACTTCCTGGAATCGATATACGTCTGGCGCTGTCGACACGTTTCCAAACGTCGTCGTCAAGCTGGGCGTGCGGATAATTTCACAAAGGCGTACACATCTGCACGTTTTCAGCCTTATCGGTCAGCTTATATCCAGCGTCATTGGTCAGCTTATATGCACAGTCACCGAACCCAGCTGCTATAACCCATCGAACACCCGAGCGTGTTCAGGCGCGCTTTCGATGCTTACGGGGAACTTACGAGGCGGCGAGGTCGTCGAAACCGACCTGAATATGTGGGTGGATTAGCCGGTCACCAGAGGGAGCCCCACAGGCCTCGCCCATTGCTGGCAATGACGGGCTATTCGCCGACGTGTCAGACGAGACCCAAATGTGTCCATGGTGAGTCGGCTGAACAGCTGCAGTATTCCGTGCACAGCAGGCTGCGTCGGACTGAGCAGGGCTGGCGAAGATGGTGACGCAGTTGGCCTGCGACGTGATCTAATTTAATCGCGGACAGATGACGTATCGGAAATTATGAACTTAAGCGGGCCGTAGTAACATCCCAAGTTACGGAAACATCGCGACATCTCCCCGATTTATATTCCGGTAATGTTGCCGATGAACCGCCTTGCATGGTCTGCATGGTGGAGTTCTATACCGGACTAACGTCGGCCGGCCCCAGGGCGAGCAGGCCGGCCTCCAGAGCGATCAGGCCGGCTGCCAGGGCGAGCAGGCCGGGCCCCGGGGACGAGCAGGACAGCCCCGGGGAGAGCAGGCTGGGTCCCGGGGCGATCAGGCCGGCCTCCAGAGCGATCAGGCCGGGCTCCAGAGCGAGCAGGCCGGCCTCCAGAGCGATCAGACTGGCTTCCAGGGCGAGCAGGCCGGGCTCCGGGACGAGCAGACCGGCTTCCGGGGCGAGGAGGACGGTCCCAACGGGGGGGGAGGGGGGAAGCAGACCGGTCCTCGGGGCGAGCAGGCCGGCCCCCGGGGAGAGCAGGCCGGGCTCCAGGGCGAGCAGGCCGGCCTCCAGAGCGATCAGGCCGGCTGCCAGGGCGAGCAGGCCGGGCCCCGGGGACGAGCAGGCCGGGCCCCGGGGACGAGCAGGACAGCCTCCAGGGAGAGCAGGCCGGGCCCCGGGGACGAGCAGGACAGCCCCCGGGGAGAGCAGGCTGGGTCCCGGGGCGAGCAGGCCGGTCCCCAGCGGGGAGCGGGCCGGCCCTCGGGGGGGGGGGAGCAGGCCGGTCCCCAGCGGGGAGCGGGCCGGCCTCGGGGGGGGGGGGGAGCAGGCCGGTCCCCAGCGGGGAGCGGGCCGGCCCTCGGGGGGGGGGGGAGCAGGCCGGTTCCCGGGGAGAGCAGGCCGGCCCTCGGGGAGAGCAGACCGGGCTCCAGTGCGGCAGCCCCCAGGGCGAGTAGGCCGGCCTCCAGGAGGCAAGCAGGCCGGTCCCCAGGGCGAGCAGAGCGGCCTCGGGGCAAGCAGGCCGGGCTCCAAGACGAGCAGGCCGACCCCAGGGCGAACAAGCCGGTCTCCAGGGAGAGCAGGCCGGCCCCCGGAGCGAGCAAGTCGGGCCTTAGGGCGAACGGGCAACAGCGCTTCGTCGGTCTCGTTGGGCTGCTTATGGGCCAAGGTGACGGCCGACCTTAACCGGAGCAGAGACCGGAACCGCCATGGCTGCCGGGGCGGGCGGCTACGCTCGGGCGGCGATGTACCATGGTGGCGCTAGTGCCGACCGGAAACCGCAGCATCGACTCGAGCCGCGCCTGCACCGACTCTCAGCTGTCTGGGCCGCGCCGGCCGCGCCCGCCAGGCTGGCTAGCCAGCGTGACGTCATCCCGACGCCTGCCGCCTTGCCGACCACTCCGGGGTCGGCTGGGTCAGGCGGCCGACTCCGGGTCGGATGGACGGTATACTGGGCCGGAGGCAGCCATTCCGGAGGGTCTCCGGGCCGGGACACGGCCTGCGGCCTGAGTGGGGACCTCAGAGCGCCGTTCCGCCTGGAGTGTGAGCTAGAGCGGCAACCTGTTGATGGCGACGCCCAGTTCGTGGTGGGGACGGGAGCTCGGCGCACCGGCGGGTGTTGGCGGCGGTGATGGCCGACGGACTGGCTATCTGCAGCCCAGCGGACCTGACGCCGCCGCAGGGCGTCCCCGGCGGCGCGTCCGCCGCCACTGCAGACGAGCGGCCGGGCGAGCGGACGCGTCGGCAGGCGCGGACGCCCCCGTTACCCTGTGGTGCCGTCGTCAGACGAGAGGCTCCGGATGCACACAAACAGACGCGCTGAGGCAACAATCCGCGGTATCGCGGAATCGTTAGCGAAAGGATGGCCACTGGCCAATGCTCAGGCGCGTGCAGCACGCGATCTTGGCACCGGCAGAGCTCAGCCCAGGGCCAGGGCCTGGCTGCTTCGTTTTCCTTGGCTTTCTTTTTCCGTCCCACTCCCACTCTAGCGTTAGGACTTGGCCGGCCGCGGCTGGTGTGTAGACTGCTGCTGCAATTGGCCAGAGCCCGCTGTTTGCCCAGAGCTGCAGCCGGCCGGCGCTGCTCGGCCGACCTCCCGGCGCTTTCACCAGGCGGTGTGGGAGCGTCAGCGTGGGGCCCGGCCGGCGCGCCCCGTCCGGCGCCATGCGTGCCAGGCCCGGCGCCGCCCGGCACCGGTGAGAGGCCGCGCTTCGGTGCCGGAGCGTGCTCAGTGATAGCGCCGGCTGCTCGTCCGCCGTCATATTTGGCGCCCGCGGTATCGAACGCCTCGGGGCGAATCAGCCCAACAGGCGCTGCGGCACACGTGGTTCTCACAAAATCACCCCACGGCTCTCGTAGGGCCAACTGCACGCAGCGCATCGCACGCGCTGTTTTGTTAATTGCTGCTGGAATGAGATACGTGGTGGCCGCCCCACTGCGGCAG